AGCAGAATAGAGATAGGAATAAGTTAAATAGTAGCTAATATAGAACAAAATAATATAAAGAATATTAGTTTTAGCAGTAGATTAGCAAACTGGCTTTCCTTAACTTATGCTAAATTAGATATAATATAGACTGTAATATTAGCAGTACTATGTAATACAAGTATAAACATCTTCTTAAACAGCAAAATAGCAATTAAAAATATATTAAGCAACAAAGCAGATAGCAATATGCATAAACTTTTTAAAACAAAAAACTATAGTTTGATTAGATAGATTAAGGAATATTACAAAGTAAAAGAAATTGAACTTAAGTTAACAAAAATCAAAGACTATAGTAATGACTTTTGGAATGACAAAGCAAATATCTTAGCAAAAAAAGAATTAAGTTTAAACAAGATTTTGCATGTAGAAGATATCAATATAGATGAAGTAAAAGTATTGTCTAGATAGAAAAACAAAGTTATTAATTGCTCAATAAGAGCATTTGTAAATATTTTAATGATAATAACTTATGAAATAGAATGAGCAGAGATTAGCAACTTAAAAAATCTTATATTTCTAAGTTTAGAACTTAGAAGTATAGAAAAAATAAACTAAAAAGGTCTTTGAAATATACTCAAAAAGTTTTAAAGAAAGAAATATTTAAGCCTTCAAAGTAGCAAGATACTAATTTTTAGAATAAAGTACTTAAACAAACTTCTACTAACATATGATATATGCTATCAACAAAGACTAAAGCTATATAAAGGTAAAACTTGTATAGCCTACTATATTACTAAAGAAATATTTAGTCACTTAGCAGAATATATAGTATATCAAAATATATAAACATATATAAAAGAAATCATTATTGAAAAGCTTAAGTACAAAATATTTTAAGAATAGAATATATTTACATCTAGTTTAGACTTAAAGAAAATGCTAATAGGAATTAAGACTAAAGATAAACTAAGTAGAAGAATATTGCATCTACAAGGTATTATAAGTAAAAATCAAATAAAAAAAATGAAAAAGATGCTAGAATCATACTCTAAAGCAAACTAAGCTATTATCTAGTTTATAGATATCTTTTAACTTAATTTTTTTGAAAGGCTATAAAAATTTAGATACAAAGTTATAGTTAATTAGAAAAAAAAAATAGAATAAATATACAAAAAAAAAAAAAATAAAAAAATAAAAAAAGACTAAAAAAAAAGAAAGTAGCTAATAAAGAGAATACTAACATATCTGCAATATAAACCAAAGAAGTCTTATATAAAAAAGAAAAAAGAATTCTCAAGAAATCTAAAGTAAAAGTTACAAATTAGATTAAAACAGAAGTATGTAAAGAGTAGTTGAATTTCAAAAACAAATAGACAGTCTTAATACAAGCTAGTAGTAGCTTTCTGAAGATTAGAAATAGACAAATATATTTAAGTATACACTAATTTCTAGAAAAAAAAAGCTACTATAGCAAATCGAGCATAGTGGATATTTGATTTTATTGGCTCATAAAACTCTGAGTCATACAATATAAAAAAATTTTTTTAAAGTAAACTTTACTATGAAAAACTACTTCGTCAATTAGCAACTTTCAGTTTCACAAAGTAAAGTTTAACCAAAATGTTTTATAAGCTTTTTTTACTCTCAAGACATCTATTAAGTGAAGATGATCTCTATTGATCTCTATCATTAAAAACTTTGCTTAGAAAGCAACTTTTAATAAAGCAAGTATAGTGGTAAGTATATACAAGTTAAAATTTAGCTTGTTGAGCAAAAATAAAAATAGAATAAAGTCAAAAGTAACAATTTAGAAAGGTATAGTACTGTAATATGAGTATAATATGTAACTTAAGATCTTAGTTTATTGAAATAATATTTATTATACATTGTAAAAATTCTAGAATAATCAGCTAATTATATTTATTTATTTTTTTTTTTTTAAGCTATGATTAAAGATTTAGAAGTTTATATATATGTATAACTACATGCTGTTTTGCTGTAATTTAAACTATGAGGTTTTCTTTATAAATTAATAAATAAAATAAACATAGTTATTTTACTTGAACAAATCTAATTAATTTTATACAATATATATTTTAAGATTAGTTAAAATTTAAGGTCTGGTGATTTTAGTGTAGTGGTTAGGTTACCAGACTGCCATGCAAGAGGTCTGGAGTTCAAATCCTACTGTCGACGAATTTGAATAATTATCTGGATCTTTGTACCCAACTTACGGTAAACTCTGTCTGTTTCTGAGGTTGTAACCCTGTAAATCACATTGCACCAATATCATCCGGATATTAGAAGTGTGATGAGGCGTTTGATGAAACGTAACGTTATATGAATAAATCTTGATAGGATCTACAGGCAGAAGATCTGTATAGTAGAAATCCTGAGTTAGTGAAGTAGTATAGCTTTCAACAGTCACACTAGCTAACGCTTGATCCAGAAAAAAAACTATCGACGAAAGATACAGATCGAGTCGAGTACACATAAATCTAGTTCACAGGGAGGATCAGTAACACCAACCTGGCTTGGCAGCTAACTAAATTGTGAGGATCTACCTCATGAAACATCCAAGAAGATAGATACAAAAAACTGGTGAAGAGCTATGGTAGGAACTAGGGTTGTATGAACATTTACAAGAGTCTAAGCTAGATAAATTCATAAAATAGGTACGAATCACTCTAGTAGGTATGCTTCGAGGTTAATAGCTCTGCAATACTAGCAATACGTCTAATATAATGTATCCCAAGAGGACCTAAGCCGTTCTGAATAAATAGATCTGTAATGAGCTAGCTAGCTTAAGTAGTTAGGTGTTGCAGTGATGTTAGGTTAGATCTGTATAAGTTAATGAACAGAGTGTTTAAATAGGTAACTCACAGATGGGTTACAGGTATAGCAGCATAGTGTAGAACCAATCAGGTAGTCTAATCGTCTGTGTAGTGGACTACTTAAATTAGACAATGACTAAAGTTGTATATGTGGCTTGTTGTACACTCTTCATATAATTACAAATAGTAGGGACTATCAATGTATATTCCGTATGCAATTCTAATAAAATTCCTTCAGCAATGTAAGCTACCTTAATAACAAAAAAAAAAAAAAGATTAGTTAAAGTTTCAATTTTTTTTCTTTTGAAATTCATAATTTGGTTGGCTAATAATTATGTGACAATATGTATATTGTTTACATTTATTAACCAATCAAATTGAATGTCTGCTATGCTGTATAAATACATAATGTAGCATAATGCAAAATGTGATATTATATATTTATAGTGTCTTATTAAAATTAAAAAACAAGATTTTTATCTCTAGATAGAAGTTTACTATTTCATAATATTTTTAAACTTCATAATAATTAGTCTGCTTTATATAGATAGAAAATTACTAACTAACATTATTATATTATCTAGTAGTTACTATTGATCATGCTACCTATTATTTCTTTATATCATGGTGTATTGATTATAACTATGTCACAATATTTTGATATCAAAAGCAGAATTTTAAATTTTGTATATATAAGCTCGAAGATTATTTAATCAAAACAAGATCAATAACTACTCCTGAATAATATCGTTATCAGGTAGTTTGTAGATGTATTGAGTTAATAACATCAACAACTATTGATTAACTCAGATTGTGCTGCTATCATAGTATTTGAGCTAATCAATACCTGTTTAATGCTGCCAACTCAATATCATCCACAAACTAACTGATAACTATTAAATATTATGGTTTATATGATATAATGCATATAATGCAAAATATACATCTCTAGTATCAATACCAATATTTTTTAATTAGCTTTAGCTTTTGTCTAATTAGCCTTAGCCTCGAATCTAATTAGCTTTAGCTTCGAGTAGTCTTAATACCATATGTTTAAGATTAATTTGACTTGTCTAATTTAATTAGTCAGATCTAATTGAACATATCTAATAACAATACTACTTATAATAGGTATTGAATTCTTTTTTTATTTGTTTTTTAATTTTATCTTATTATGAATAAATATTGTACTAGTAATTTGAATCAAAAAAAAAATTTTTAGTCAGATAACTGAATTGAAATATATAATTTTAACTAATTGCAACTGATTAAGATTATTTCTTCTTTATTTTTAGAAGTTTTTGAAACCTTTACTCAAAATTTTATATTTATTCTTTTTTTTTTTTGAAAGTTCTCAGACCTTTTGTTTCTTCTTAATATTATTTACATTCTGTCAACTAATTATTAATATTCTACTAGTTGTATAAGTTAACTAATTAAAATTTTACTCAACTAGTTATTTGAAATTTATTTAATTCAAATCAGTTAATTAATTATAGTTTAACTAGTTTAAATCACTACTCTAATTTGTAGTTTTTTAATTTTATATAATTTACTAGTTAAATTATTTTTTATTTTATTAGTTCTTAAACTAGATTTTTTCAATATTAATATTATTTGTTAATGGATTAGATTTACCTGTACTAGATTTAGTACAGAAAATTGACTAAAATTTCTACTAATTAAAATAAGAAACCTAAGCTCAAAATTAATAGACTACTTACTTATGTTATAGGGCTTTTATAGTAAAAATTACAGGCTTATCAGAGTTACACATGAGACAAAATTATACGTTAATTACAGAGATATATTGCCAGGTTAGTAAAATGTAAAATGTTTATATCAGGTAAATCAATTAATTTAAAAAAGTTAAAAATTTTAAGTAGGCGTTACATACCTGATTTGTGTATATGATATAATCAGTAAATAATTACAATATAAATCAATTGTTCAAAATAAGTTAAAACTAGTTAACACTAAATAATTTGAACAAAAAATCTTAAAAATTTTTGGTCGTCAACTCTTTCGTAATCACAAGTTAGGGGTTTTTGGATACCTGATACACTAGCTGTAAAAGAAATACCAAGGATAGATGCGAGGGGGTATCATGTATGCATAAAAGTATGTGAATTTTTTTTTTTTTATAAAAAAGAACAGTGAACTTATTTTTTTTTCAACCTTACGATGCATCGAATTTTACCAAAAATCAAAGTAGGTGCCAAGGTTTCTGTCTTAGGCCCTGAAGTGGTTGAAAACATTGCACGTTCACTTTCGGGTGAATTATGGAATATCAAACGGCTATTAGCAACTATTGTACAAGCAGCACCAGGCAAAAATTGTTGGGTAATTTCTCTCGATTTGCAACCAGAAATACAAATTGAAGTTGCTGCAGGTCATATGAAGTTTGAGAGTTTTTCTCCAAGTAATGTGAATACTAATCAACATATGAGTGATGAATCAGAAGAAAGTGGTAGTGAAACGGATATCTCAAGCAATAGTGATAGTGATAGTGATCAGAATGAGAGTGGAGAAACGATAGATGCTAATAATATACTATGGAAAAATGAAATTGTAACTATTGATTCTCGTCAAGTGTCCCGTTTCTATTCAAGTACACTAGTTATACAAATTACTGATATCACTAATGCAATGCCCAGACAGTTTTTTGAGCATTTCATGCCTGTTGACTTTATAATTTCAGTAGTAATTCTATCTATGAACAGGTATACATGTGAATGTGAAAGAGGGTGGCGAGATTTAACTTGAATGGAATTCATGAGATTTATTAGTATATTAACCATTATGATATATGTAAAATGTACCGATCTTTGTGATTATTGGTCCAATAAACAAGAAACCGCTAGAGTTTTATTGTCATTTGGTCAATATATGTCACATCAACGGTTTTGAAATATTATAAAATATTTGAAATTGACAGATTCATTAACAAATGAAGATCTTTTTTATTTTGCTCGACAGTTTCATGATGCATTTAATGATAACCTTGCAAATGCTGTTTTACCTGGTTCTTACCTTTGTATAGACGAATCAATGTGCCAATGGATAGGTAAGATCGATAAAAGTTTATTCCAGAGAAAAATTCCAAGAAAGCCTCATCCAATCGGTTGCGAGTTTAAAGCCACTGCAGATGCTCAGGTAAATTTAATACTAAGGCTAGATCCTGTAGAACCTCCAGAATATGCCAGAAAAAAAAAATTTTCAGACAAGTATCCTCCCACTGTTGCATCTGTATTAAGGTTAACTAAACCGTGGTTCCGTAGTGATAGAACAATAATTGGCGATTCATGGTTTGGTAGTATTAATACGTGTATTTCTTTGTATGAACATAGTCTTTATTCTATTCTACAAATAAAAAAATATCATTATTGGCCTAAAAATATCCCTCATGATATTACAAGTGTACTTGAAGATACATATGGTTCATTTGTTAGTCGAACTTGTAATGCAAGTAATATTGATTTAACTTTATGTTCAATTCATAATCGCAAAGATATTGTTATTATTACTAGTTGCTCTACAACAATCCTTGGATCAGAAATAAGACGATATATTAAGGATCATAGTGTTGTAATATTCTGCTGCCCTGTTGTATTTGATGAGTATTGTGAACATAAATCTGTTGTAGATATTATTAATAATTTACGTGATAACTCGCTTTCATATCATGATGTTCTTAAATCAAAACGTTCAATAGATCGTATTTTTTCTTTTTACCTTTCAGTAACAGAAGCAAATAGCTTCTCTGCATACTGTCGATTTGTTCCGGAAAAACAAAATATGAAGCACGTGGACTTCTGGAAGCAATTGGCAAGGTCGATTTTTAATTACTATTCAGGTGAATCGAATGCTGATCGATCCAAAAAAAGATGAATTTAAGATACAGTTGATATTGAACATAACTTTACTAATCTTAGTAATGGTCCTGGAACTAATAAACTTAAAAGCAAGTATGTTCAATGCTGATGTATGAGTTGTCATAAGTGTACAACTACCTGTTGTAGTTGTACAATTTCACGTGCAATATGTTCAAATTGTTAGGCCCGACATATTCGTTTGTTATATATGACTGGGTATAAATTTTTTTTTATTTATTGTTTAAGATTTATTTCATTATTTTTTAAAATTAAATTTTTATTTTTTTTTGTAGGGTATCATCTAATGGGTTTTAATGATGTACTAAATCTAGTACACCCAAATTTGCAAAATATTAGCAAATATTAATTTTATTTTTTCTTGTTATCTATATTATAAATAAATATAAAATTTATAGTATTAAATAAAGGAATATATAGTGGTTTTTAAAA